TACGTCTCGCTCCACCGGAATGCAGGAATGATCCTCGCAGCTTCAGGAGCTGTTGGGGAAGGGATTCATTCGACCGAGTAGTTCGCCTTGGGGAGCGCCGATTTTGTTCGTCAAGAAGAAGGATGGTTCACATTGGATGTGTATCGATTATCGGGAGTTAAACAAGTTGATGATTAAGAACCGATACCCGTTACCTAGGATCGACGATCTGTTCGATCAGTTGCAGGGGGCATCTTGGTTTTCCAAGATTGACTTGAGGTCGGGATATCATCAAATGAGGGTTCGCGAGGAGATATCCAAAAGACTGCCTTCAGGACTCGTTATGGACATTATGAGTTTGTGGTGATGCCTTTTGGGCTCACCAATGCCCGGCCGCATTCATGGATCTCATGAATAGGGTGTGCCGACCCATGCTGGATCGGTCGGGTGATCGTATTCATCGATGATATTTTGGTGTATTCGAGGACTAGGGACCAGCATGAGGAACATTTGCGGGAGATTCTTCGGGTTTTGAGGGCGGAGAGACTGTATGCCAAGTTCTCCAAGTGTGATTTATGGTTACGAGAGGTCCAATTCCTCGGGCATCTTGTGAACCAGAAGGGGATATTGGTCGACCCGGCAAGATGAGGCGTGTTGAGGTGGGAGGTGCCGAGATCGCCCACCGAGATCAGGAGTTTTCTGGGTTTGGCTGGATATTACCGCAGATTTATCAAGGATTTCTCCAAGATCGCTGTGCCACTTACTAGGATGACCCGGAAGGGTGTTGCGTTTTCATGGGGACCGGAGCAGCAGTCTTCATTTGAGACGCTTCGTCAGAAATTGTGCGAGGCTCCGGGGCTTGCACTCCCGGAAGGGATGGAGGATTTTGTGGTATACTGTGATGCCTCTATATCGGGTTTGGGGGCGGTACTTCATGCAGAGGGGTCATGTGATAGCGTACGCTTCGAGGCAGTTGAAAGCCTATGAGTTGAGATATCCGCACGGACCTGGAATTGGGGGCGGTGGTGTTTGCCCTCAAGATCTGGCGACACTATTTGTACGGGGTTCGGTGTACGATTTACACGGACCATAAGAGCTTGAATACTTGATGGATCAGCCAAACTGAATATGCGGCAGAGGAAGGTGGTTGGATGTGGTGAAGGATTACGATTGTGAGATCCTGTACCACCCGGGCAAGGCTAATGTGGTAGCCGACGCATTGAGCCGTAGGGCGGATATCGCCCCTATCCGAGATATTTGTATGAGGTTGACGGTTTTGACCCCGATTCTGGACATTATTCGAGGGGCTCAGATGGAGGCTGCAAAGCCGGAACACCAAAAGAAGGAACGGGTGGTAGGTCAGGTATCAGGATTTGTTACGGATGGTCGAAGGCTTATGACTTGTCAGGGATGGATTTGGGTGCCGTTTGTGGGCGGTGCGCGCACTATTTTGATGGAGGAAGCACATCGATCGAAATTCTCGATTCATCCTGGTGCTACGAAAATGTATTTGGATCTCAAGAAGAGTACTGGTGGCCATGTATGAAAAGGGATGTCGCTTGGTTCGTCGAGAGGTGCTTGACTTGTCGGCAGGTCAAGGCCGAACACCAGCGACCGCACGGTAAGCTGCAACCGCTAGAGATTCCCGAATGGAAGTGGGAACAAATCTCTATGGATTTCATCACCAAGTTACCGCGAACGGCGAGAGGAGTCGATGCGATTTGGGTAATTGTGGATCGGCTGACAAAGAGCGCTCATTTTCTAGCTATTAGTGAGAGCTCTTCTGCGGAGAAGTTGGCTGAGTTATATGTGAGGGAAGTAGTATCTCGGCACGGGGTGCCGATCTCGATTATTTCGGACCGCGACGTGCGTTTCACTTCCAGGTTCTGGAAGAAATTCCATGAAGAGTTGGGTACTAAGTTACATTTCAGTACGGCATATCATCCTCAGACAGACGGCCAGAGTGAACGGACAATTCAGACACTCGAGGACATGCTTCGGGCATGTGTGTTGGACTTCGGAGGGAGCTAGGACACCTATCTACCTTTAGCAGAGTTCTCGTATAACAACAGCCATCATTCGAGCATTGGTATGCCGCCCTTTGAGCTGTTGTATGGGCGGAGGTGTCGCACCCCCATCTGTTGGGGTGAGGTGGGACAACAGGTTATGGGTAGCACGGAGATCGTGCTTCAGACGACCGAGAAAATTCAGATGGTCAGGCAAAGGTTGTTGACCGCTCAGAGCCGGCAGAAGAGTTATGCAGACAGGCGACGGTCCGAGCTTGAGTTCCAAGTTGGTGATCTCGTGCTCCTGAAGGTCTCTCCTTGGAAAGGAGTGATTCGGTTCAGGAAGAGGGGCAAGTTGGGGCCCCGGTATATTGGTCCTTTCCGTGTGATCGCAAGGGTGGGTCGGGTAGCCTACCGTTTAGACTTGCCAGCAGAGTTGGGACAGATTCACGATACTTTCCATGTGTCGCAACTGCGGAAATGTATAGCCGACGAATCAGCGGTGGTTCCGTTAGGGGATATTCAGGTGGATGCAAGTCTGAATTATGCTGAAAGACCTGTGGCCATCAAAGATCGGAAGATCAAGGTTTTGAGAAACAAGGAGGTACCCCTGGTATTGGTTCAGTGGCAACATCGGAAGGGATCAGAGATGACCTGGGAGCCGGAACATGAGATGCGGGAGCAGCATCCAGAGCTTTTTGCCTAAGCGGGACTTCGAGGGCGAAGTCTTATTCTAGTGGGGGAGATTTGTAACAGCCCGAATCCCCAGGTATCTTCATTTCATATATTTTTGTCATTCTGTGAGGGGACTCGGCGAGTTGACCTTCGACTCGCCGAGTCGGGTCGCGTTTTTGAGCGGGGGTTCGCATCCGGACTCGGCGAGTCCAAGGGATGGACTCGGCGAGTCCGCGCTGTTTGATGAAACCCTAATTTCCCGGTCCTAAGCCCTATTTAAAGGACCTTATGGCCCTCATATGCGGCCACCTTGAACCCTAAGAGCCTCCATACGTCTGTAAGCCCTTGTGAGTGTGTTTGAAGGCCTTTTGTTCATCATTTTGTGTGATATTGCAAGGAAAGGAGGGAGAGGAGCAAGCTTGAAGTGTTGGGGAGCTTAGATCTGTTGCTATTTCATCAAGGGGGTCTTCTTGAGGTAATTTTCTGAGCCAATCTTCGTGTTTTGTGTTGATGGGCCAAATCTAGGGTTTCTTCTTGCATTTCTTGGCTTGAATAAGAAGTATGAGAGGTCCCATGGAGACATGGAACCTAGATCTGGACTTAAGCAGGTCCAGGAGACCCCTCATGACAAGCTTTATGTCCATTCTTTTGAGTTAGAAGCTAAACTTGCCAAATAAGTGGTTGTTTCTTCAAAGTAAGCCTTGTATGCATTGCATGGCAACCAAGACTGAGACTTTACGTGACAAATAAGCTTGGGAAGGCCAGATCTATGTATGTATGGAACGGATCTGACCGCAAAAGCCAGTTTTAGCTGGTGCATGGCATGGACTCGCCGAGTCTGAAGAACAGACTCGACGAGTCGCTTGAAGATTGTCCTTGAGACCATCCTGTGTGTAGTCCGGACCGAGTTGTGGGCGACTCAGTGAGTCGCAGAGAGTTGGAAAGGTTTTGACAGGTGGACCGAGTCAGGTTGGGACTGCCGAGTTGACCTTCGACTCGGCGAGTTGAGTCGCGGTGGCCCTGTGATTCAGGCCCAGGTGGAACTCGTCGAGTCGGGGGAGTACTCGACGAGTCAAAGGGAAAATTCTTGAGAGTTGGTAAAAACGCGTAGACTCGCCGAGTCGCTATTGTGCACTCGCCGAGTCTGGTCCAAATTGTCTAAAGACTGCTGACCAAGTCAACCTGTGTTGACTTGATATGGATGGTCCACCTTAGTGGTACAAGTAATAATTATAGATTTATAATATCATAGGAGGATTGCAGCTCGAGGGTTCGAGCCCGAGTGATTCCAGGATTCACGATTAGCGACTTAGCGAGGCATACGAGGTGAGTCTTCTCACTATACTGTACCCGGAAGGGTTTTGACTGTGTGACCGGAAGGTCGAATATGATATGAAATATATGCCTTATGTGTGTTAAGTTATTTGCTATAAGTGTCATGTATGATATGTTTGATATGGGCCGGAAGGCGTGGTCATATGGACTATAAGGGTTGACGTGGGTAGGACCGGAAGGTTTACCCAGTCGGGACGGAAGTCCCCTGAGACACATGGACCGGAAGGTCAAGGCCTGGAAAGGCGTATGTGCGTATGTTGTATTTTGGGAACTCACTAAGCTTTATGCTTACAGTTGTTGCATTATGTGTTTCAGGTACGAGTGAGGACCGTGGGAAGGCGCCAGCGTGACCGTACACACACTCGGGGAAAACTATTTTATCTTTTGTTATGTAATCGGTTGTGACTACATTGTTACTTTGGAATCTAAACTTATTACTCATGTTTTGATGGTTGTAAAAACGAAAATTTTTGGTTGGAAATTTTATGACGTTACAAATTGAGTTTTAGAGTTTATGTTGGTTGTAATGGTTAAATACATAATTTAAGGATAGAGGAGAGTTGTTTAAGTAAAAAATGATGTTAGTTTAACTATGAATTCAAATGTCGGTCAACGACCTATATGAAGTGCAATACATTCTTGTAATGTTTCAATGTACAGGCCCTGTTGGAGATTGGCGTGGGGTAGTAAAAAAGTGGTGAACAATTCTTTTAGAATAATGGGAACAACACAATGAACATATTCTTCAGGAATGGTGTGAAATACATAATAAAGGATAGTATGTCAAATTAAATGACACTACATAATGTGAGTAAAATGGTTTATTTTTTAGCTTGATTTCAATGACAGGTTTTAACTTAATTTCATTGACAGGTTTTAACTTAATTTCATTGACAGGTTTTGGTTTAATAGAACAAGCTCCGCAAGCTGTAGTAGCATTTGATGAAGAATTACCAATGGTAGAAGTCAATGTAGAACAAGAAGCAAGTATGAGTGAATGGAGGAATGAAAATCAGAAAAAAAAAAAAGAACAAGCACATAGTAGAATCACCAAAGAAGGGTAGAAAAGTTAAAAGAAAAGATGATGGTATCAAAGCTGTTGAAATAAGATCACAAAGAAAGTCTAATTTAGTAGCAAAGGCTAAAACAAGTAAAAAGGAATATGGTTCTGGGATGCTCAAGCCAATTGAAATAAGTAGCAATTCAAAGAACAAGTTTGAGAAGAAGGTATGGGAAAAGAAATTGGAAAAGAGAATGGAAAAGAAGATGGATAAAAGGCATCCAGAAGGGCTTAGAAGACTAAACAGTAGAATGTCACCAACGAAGATGAGCCTAGTTGTAAGGAGTTTGACAAAGGCGCAAAAAGAACAAGTTAAAAAATGGGTTTAGGTACGTTATTAGATATAGATATCGGTAGTTTACCAGGGCACTTAAACTACTATCTTCTTGATAATTATGATCTATTGACAAATAGACTTGTGTTGCCAAATGGTGCCTTGGAAATAACCAAAGAAAGGATACATGAGATTATGGGTATACCTATGGAGGGTGTTAATATTAAGGAACTACCTTCCTGTGGGACGAACAATCATGTACTTAAAGAATGGATGGCTCAGTATCCAAAAAAATTGTTTTCTAGTACAACGTATTTGAAAAAATAAAGGAGTCAAGAGTGGATGGCATTCTCTTTAAACTTAATTTTATTATATTGTTTATCAACACCTTTATTGAGTCAAAGAAAATGGGGACATGTCAAATAAAAGTTGTTGAGAAGTTAGTTATGTTGGAAGACTATTCAACTATTGATTGGTGTCAGTACATGGTTGATAGCTTGATGACAAGGAAGCAATTATGGAATCGGGACGACCAGTTTTGCTATTACTCAGGGCCTATTACCATATTGTTGGTATGAATGTCATAAATATATTTTAAATACTAATGATTATTATTCTATAATTGTTATATTATTATATGTTGTAACAAATTAGTAATATGTGTACAACTTGTTTATGTGTTTAATGTTCGCATAAGTGAAAGCATTAAATTGAAAAAAAGGACTTCTTTCATAATACATGTTACTAGAGATAAGGTGGAAAAGATCAAGGATTCTGAGGTGAATGCAAATGCTCTTGGGATGGGGCATTTCATCAGAAGAGAAGATGATAAGAATGAAGATGTTAGTAGTGATACAGATATGGAGATGGAAATAGTTGAGAGAGAATTTTGAAGATGAGGAGGTAAGCACTGTTATTTTATATCCATTTAACATAGAATCATATTAAGTTTGATTGTGTAAGTGATGGTGTATTATATTTAAGAATAGGCACATTATAATAAAATATTTAGGTTTGAATTACATATCCGATCATATAGACGTGATTATGTTATATAACTCATTCAAAATGATGACATGGTATGAGGTCTATGAGGTTGTGATGAGTTATAAAATTATTTGAATCTTAAATAATGGATTAATAATAATTTTTCCTGATATTAATTATTCTGAATCAATGAATGTGTAATATTATTTGTTTATGATGGTTTAAGTATTTGGTACATGCAGGCATATTGTGCCATATTTGACATCGAGTACAATAAAGTATTGACTGAAAAAGGAAGCATGTCAAAAGCATTAATTGAAGGGATGAAAAAGTTTCCTAATAGTGAAATATTGAGAGAAAGGATGACATTGATGAAAATGTTGTTTAATGATGTGGGGATTAATGAAGATGCAGTTGTAAATGAAAGTGATGGCATTGATGAGGACACAGACACAAATGATGACATGTTACAGAAAAATGCACAACATGAAAATTTTGGACAAGCTTCCAGGTCAAATAAAAGTCCTGTTACACCATACGGGACAAAAGAGAATGTAGAAGACATTGGGCAACACAGGGAAGGGAAAGAAGTTGCACATGAATACGTGACGCCTATGGGTGAAAATAATGAAGCATGGGGAAATATAAATGAATTGAGTAGTTCACAATTCTTTAAACTCCCTGGAGTTGTAGATGAAGTGTTGGATATGATGGATAAAGTATCAGGTGATAAGAAGGTTACTTATGTTGGAGATAACAATTATGGGGTTGATAAGAGTTTAAAAGAGACAATCAATGAGGAAACAACTTTTACTGCACAAAGCTCAAGAAATTTATTGACTGATCTAAACGAATCAGTTGTTGTGAAGGATAGAGGGAACATTGAAAAATAATCAATTGTGACTGGGAGAAGGAAAGGTAAGGTTACAAACTATAAGCGATCACCATTTGTGGATAGGATAACTCGGGTACATGAAAGAGTAAGAAAAGAAGAAGCGACTCTTTGCAACTCTATTTTCGCTTCTAAAAGAGATCAATTGTAAGTTTAAATTTTATATTCATTTTTTAATCATATATATTGAAAATGGTATATGGTTTGTACATGATTGTTAATGAGTATGTGTGTAAGTAGGGATGTGATTTTGGATTTCGAAGAAGGAGAAAGCCTTATTCAAGGTGATGCATATTTCTTTGAAGACAAAATGTTCATTCATAGGTCGATAATTAATTGTTGGGCAACATTCTTAAACACTATGGAACGATACAGAGAACTAGGAACAACAATATTGTACTTTAATACCTATTTTATGGTATGCAGAAATTTTTTAATACTTGAAGTTCATTACAAATGAAATGTGTTATTATGTTAATTGTTGGTTAACTGATTCCTGCAGAACGAATTAGTGATGGATGAAACAGAACTTGAGATTTCTAGACTTAAGGAGTTCACTTTAATGCTTGAAATGTTCATTGGAAATTTGGATATCAAAGCAAACTTAAGTGATGTTGGACTGGTATTTTTTTTTTTATAATGAAAGATATAAATTCCAAAAATATTGATGTGAATAGTATGTTAATTAATTTAGTCTTGTGCAGGTTTTCTTCCTGATAGTTGATGTTGACAAGTATTATCTGTTGTGTTTCGACTTAAAGAGGGGAAGATATTTGATTATTGATCATGTGAAACATATCGGTACAGTTGAAAGTCGATATGGAAAAATACCAAGAACACTTGTAAGAAATAATATTATTACATTTTAGCAAATATGGAAATCATATATGAATAAATCATGGTTAACAATATGTATTTGACTTTGGTTGCAGCAACGGTTCTTTTGCAACTACTTGATGACACAAAACCATCGAATGCATGTTGAATTGTACTCAAAGGAAGCAAAAATCATGAGAGTGGTTTGGGAAGTCCGTGATATTGGTCCTGACTGTGGTCTATATTTGATGAGGCACATGGAGTGCTATAAGGGAGATCTAGAAGGGAAGTGGGAAACAGGATTTAAAGGAATTAAAGATAGTGATGTTGCGGTATTATCAAGACTGAGGTACAAATATATGTATAGACTGATGACCTCGGATCACAACTTGCAGAAAGACATGTTGTTGGAAGAAGCTGATAAGTTTTCAAAGCTAGATATATTGCAGAAAAGTATGTTGTTTGATGAAGCGATGGAGTTGGCAAAGAATAAAAGAAAGAAGTATAAAAAAAGCAAGGAAAGGGAAAAAGTGGCTGAAACGGGTATAGTTGTATAACAATGTTAGTGTTTTGAATGTCCGGTTTGCAAACCAACAGTTTTTATATTGTTTGGTTTGCTTTAAGTTTTTGTATGTCGTTTGTTTTAACTTATGTCAGACTTTGGTTGATGGAACATCTTATTATTTTGAATTTAAGGTATGAAAAAAGTGATGGTTTGTGGAAGTTATGATTTAAATAAAAGTTAAAGTTTGGGTGGTGACAATTTTTTAAACTCTTATATAATTAAGATATGATTTTATTGGTGATTCTAACAAATATTTGTGGAATGTGATTTTTTATGGCTGATTTATTAGGAATATGAGTAAACAATACTAGAAATTGGTGGTTCTTAGGATGATTGATTTGCATTGACAATCAGTAAAAATAGTTTGTAAAAATATATATCATTTACATGGATAATCTCTTAGAATATGGTGTTTTAATATGGTATTGAATGATAATTTTGAATTACATTTAACTGGATATTCTGGTAGATATATTCTGAAAGAATTAATTATAAAACATAGTTTTAAAAATGATTTGCATTGGCTGGTTATTACGTGTAACTAATGGTTCCCAAGTATGCTGCACTTACATGTAATAAATCAAATAATAGCTTGTGATAGTATATATTCTGAAAGAATTAATTATAAAAGATAGTTTTAAAAATGATTATTTATTGAACAATAAACTAGAACAGGTGAAGGTAAAATAACAAAACAAAGAATAAAGGAATTAATTACTTATAACAATGAGTACTTAGCTACTTATAACAATCTAAATAACAGGTACTCTTTATTGAAAAAGAAATTAATGAAAAACATAAAGTCGTTTAATTCATTTGTTGCATGAATAGGACAAAAAAAAATACTACACTACTTTAGCCTTCAAGGGACAATTCCTCTTATCATGATTAACCTTTTGTTTGCATGAGTTACACATTCTCTTTGGTTTATGACATTGATTTGTCAACATCTCTTTTTTACTTTTAAGTCTTTTTCCACGAGTACCAGAACCTTTGTTGTTGATTATAGAAGGATTCTCAATTTCACGTTCCTTTGGAAGAGTAACACCTATAATCTGTTCAAAATGATTCCTTTTAACCAAATTGTCAAACGAAGATGAAAGGCAGTACTTCATTTTCAACTTATCTATCTCCTCTAAGTACTCATGCAACTTCACTGGATCATGACTCAAAAATGAGACACAGTGATCAACAGTTGAAAAGATGTCGATTGTTGCCTGGTCAACTTTTCCGTTCATTTGAGAATTCTTAAACCGACGCCTCAATAATTCTGGAGGAATTATGTCTCTACACCAACGTTTCAATATATATCTTTCGGGTATTTTTTCAAGATTATAGTACCTCATAACAGAAAATATGTGCCTGCATAGAACTCCAACATGTTAAAAATGCATGCATGTACACATGAAGGATCCTTCACTCTTGTTGTGAGTAACCTACATTTTATTGATGAAAATTTAATTAATTTCAATATCAATTAATATGTCTATGATTTGAATTTTAATTAATTTCAATATCAATTAATACCACAAACATACCTTAAAATCTTTGTCCTTCACAAGACTATCAAAATGATATTCTTCCTCCTCGGGTTGGTTGGGGACAACTTCCTTTGTCCATGTGCTAACACTTTTCTTTCTCTCTAAGACATCAAACATGTCGACACCATCAGAAGAATCAATTATGACTTTTGTGATAAAACATGATTTTTCAGATTCAAAAATCTCTTCCTGAACTTGATAAAATATTCTTCTAGTGTAAACCTTTGCTGCGTGTGGTTCATAAGATGATAAGAAAGATATGTAATGTTCTCCAAAAATGTTGTTGTAGTTGTGAAATCCGATGAATTTTGAGTCTGCCTTTATCTTTCCATGACCAAGTCAAATGTCATCATAAAATTGACAAGATATGATCCGGATAGTGTATTGTTCTGAAAAGACCAGTTTTGACTTTCTCAGAGTCACGTGGTTCTCATCAAACCGGACATTGGAACATTCTTGAAAAATATAGGAATCCAAAGTCTCCTCAAACCAAACATCTTTCTTAACCATGTATTATCCTCAAGATTAAATTATGTAATCATACTGTCCCATCCGGCTTCAAAATCTAATTCATTAAATTTTTGCATTCCATATCAAGCTGTTGAAACGTTTCTTAAAGTCTGAATTGTTGTCAATTTCCCAAGCTAACTAAAAAAAATACAAACAACATAAAAATGTAAGCATACAAAGAATAACAGAAATTGTGAATTAAATAAGAATTTTTTTTTAAAGAATATTCAATTGTAGAAAATAATAGTGGTATGTATAACTTTTGTGGTAATTTTGTTGTTATATGCCACATACATAAACAATGACTGGATAGTGGTAACAATTCATCAACTGCTTTTTTGATTGTCGGATCTTGATCAGACATTATAATCTTAGGTGGACTCCCAAAAGCTTTCAAAAAAACATTTTAGTAACCATTTGTAAGAATCCGTGTCTTCTCGGGTAAGCAATCCAGCACCAAATGTGACACACCTCTTATGGTTATCGATTCCAGTAAATGGAACAAATACCATGTTATACCTAAATGTAAAATATGTTATAATCATGAAAATGTATTTTAAAAAATTATTAGTAACCTAATAACCTGTTAGTATGGTAGGTGGCATCAAATGAAACGACATCCCCAAACTCCATATAGTTATACTTGGAAGTTTTGTCAGCCCAAAACATTGAATATAATCTTTTTTCCTTGACTCTAAACGCGAATGAGAAGTTTGGTGCATATTTAACTCTCTCTTCCATTATGTTGACAATCAATTGGGCATCACTACCACCAATAAAACAATTTAAATTCCTAGCACAGTTCTTGTAATCAATCGCCAATCCACCACGAACTGAGCACCCACCTTGGAGACCACACATTAACCTATAAGCTTTTTTTTCCCCAACATTATTCTTAGACATGTTATAAATGTAAGTGTGCTGAGACAAATCTAGTTTTCTTTTCGTACGTGACAAATGCATATTAGCCTTAGGTATCAACATATGATTATGTCTTTCAACGAATTCATGAACCACATATTTTCCTGTCTGAGGAAGGAGCTTGAATACAATATGAGCCTCACATTCTGTCCTATGCATATCTTTTCTTCGTTTTATTTTTTTGTACTGAATATCAATAGTGTCAACATTACCAGTGTTGGGCTTTCCTTCTCTGTTACATAATAAGTACCTGCTTGTGAAAGTACCATCCGTCTTCTTCTTGTTTGATCCTAGCCTAATATCAAAACCTACTTGAAATGTATAATTTTTGTACATTTCTACAGCTGCATCATATGTATCATATATGTCGTCGACTTTAGGCTTTACATCTTCATTGGTCTTGGGTGTATAATAATCTGTCCCACCCGGAGATGTATAATCACTTACAACTACAAATTGTTCTGCAACTGTAATATATTAGTTAATGTTTTATTAGTAGCATTTTTAAAGAATAATGAAAGATCAATGTGTGATTGAATAAATTTTCTAAAACACATTCCAAAAGAATAAACAACTACTGCTTCTGATTTCTGTATCAGTTCATACGTAACATTATAATGATTACAAAAAAAATAAAATATTAACTATATTTCTGCAAGAATGTGAATTACAACAATAACAATGTTTGTAGTTTTGCGTCATTCAGACAGTTTTTACCTTCATTTTCTTCATGATCAACGTAATCTGAAACATAGTTTTCGTCATCTATATTATGTGACCAATCAATTAGATCTTCTGACTGTTGGTGAGTGATAAATTCTTCATTCTGCATTTCATTCTCCATTCCGATGCTTTGATTATGCACAATCTGATTCACTATTTCATTCTCCATTAGGAAGTTACTTAGCTTTTCATTGTCCATTTGGTTTTATAGGCGAGGAATAAGAAGAGTTGGCAAAAAAGTAACTGAACAATCAAAATTAGAGCAACTGCATGTTAAACGCTTCATATTTTTGGATAATACAATATTCATTAAAAACGTTAATAAATTTCGTTATCAGTTATATTTTCAATTGATAAAATAAATTCTTGACTCCAAAATACAAGTAATTAAAATCAAGGTCTGATACATTTGAGCAAATACAGATCATACTTCCAAATTTAATACAACTTGTTGTCTTGCTCAATTCTTGAAGAATGTGTACTATTGGTATAAATGTATTCCGGCATTTGATGAAAATACATATAATTGTAACTAACTAATTCAAGTTGGATAAATGTTAGATTTTCCTTAAAAAAAATAAAAAAATAAAAAAAAACACTAATTCAATGAAATCGATCTTATTCCAAATGAAAATAAATATAATTATAATTATCTTATTTAATGAAATCAGACATATCCGAACATTTAATGAAAATAAATTCTCATAACCATGAGAAAATAAAATGACTAGCAAACGAATTGAAATTCAATAACGATATATTTTCCTATATGGACACTTCCTTATATCATGATCTGTCAACTTATTGCAAATCCTACAAAGTCTCTCCTTTCCACAACTGCATTTCTTTTAACAACGACATTCTCATAATGTGGTTTCACACAACCTTCAATCGGAATATAATGAGCTTTCACTATATCCAAAACCAACTTTTGATACACTGGTTTCTTGTGTCCCATGCAATGCTTCAAAACCACTGATTAAAAAGATCATTCATCCTCTTCAATAGACAAATAATCTGATATATAAAATACATATTAAGTTGTAAGTTTATTATAAGATAATGTTCTGTTCAAACTGAAAGCACTACAAAACAAATTCCTTTATTTTGTTCAATTTAACAGAACTATTTAAGTTAATAATGAATAATCGGTTAGAATGTATAAATTTTGAAAATAGTTTTCATAATTCTTTAAGAATACAAGATTCTTTATGAATGATAAAATATATCATTCTTTAAGAATTTCATATGACAATTGGACGAATCAATGAAAAAATAACCAGTTTAAGAAACATAA